GTGTTTAGAGGTTTACTTGCTGAGTACCGTGTGGTTTGGTACTCACCCCTTGCTTCTACAAATTTTTGTAGGTTACGAGCTTGAATTTTTGTGGTACTTGTCATTCTCTTCTTTTCCAAGGCTTCTGGGAGATTTGTGAGGTAGTTGTTTGTCTTCTTAGCGATCCTTCTTACTCCTGTTTATGATCTTGTTCTACTCTAGAAACAATGTCATATGAGACTTGTATTTTTCTTTTATTCAATTGTAATACTTTAGAGGCTTGTACACGTGACAACCAGATTTTGGGGATATTTTTGATTTTATTATGAAATTTCCGCATTTTATTATAATGGTTGAGTTTTAGGCTGTCTTGTCTTGGTGGGATAAGACGAGTGCCATCACGTCTATTTTTGGATCGTAACAATGGAGACTATCGAGTTGGGTATCAAACGGTGGTTAGGTTGGTCAAAAATTTGGGCAAATGGATTGCTATAATAAATGTGTTGCCAATGTTTACATGGGTTAGGATGGGCTGAGCAATGAGTTAGTTATAATTCAATTCACCCAACTTTATTCAATGTTTCATTTGTTTGGTTTTCCCATTATTCGTATTAAAACTTCAAATTTGTGATGATTTAATTTCCCCTAAATAAATTAAGTTGATTTTTTTTTAAATATTGAAATGAAACTAAATCACTTAGGGTCTATTTTTCATTGCTACAGTTGTATAAGATATATGATAATGTACTTTGAATGGCCTGATTCATGCCATGTGTACCATACAAGACATTCATTTAAATTATATACTCATCATAGCTATTATAAAGGGATAAGAGTTTGAAAAATACCCTAACTTTGGTCAGATTTACTGTTGCGATACTAAACTTTCATGAGGATCTATTATTTTCCTAGACTATTTAATACCGTATTTTAAATATATATATTTGCCACGTGGATATAAAAAATAATGCAAAATTATAAATAGTAATGTGTCCACGTGGGCACATATATACCTTTAAAATACACTATTAAATAGTTCAGGGGGTAAAAAATACGGTATTAAATAGTTTAGGGAGGTAATAGGTCCTTATGAAAGTTTAGTATCGCAACAACAAATTCTATCAAAGTTGGGGTATTTTTCAGACTCTTATCCCTATTATAAACAACAACTATTCTTAGTTTTTAAAACTATCAAATAAAGCAATTAAGTGCACCCTTGGGGTATTTTTCAGACCCTTATCCCTATTATAAACAACAACTATTCTTAGTTTTTAAAACTATCAAATAAAGCAATTAAGTGCACCCTTGGGGTATTTTTCAGACCCTTATCCCTATTATAAACAACAACTATTCTTAGTTTTTAAAACTATCAAATAAAGCAATTAAGTGCACCCTTGGGGTATTTTTCAGACCCTTATCCCTATTATAAACAACAACTATTCTTAGTTTTTAAAACTATCAAATAAAGCAATTAAGTGCACCCTTGGGGTATTTTTCAGACCCTTATCCCTATTATAAACAACAACTATTCTTAGTTTTTAAAACTATCAAATAAAGCAATTAAGTGCACCCTTGGGGTATTTTTCAGACCCTTATCCCTATTATAAACAACAACTATTCTTAGTTTTTAAAACTATCAAATAAAGCAATTAAGTGCACCCTTGGGGTATTTTTCAGACCCTTATCCCTATTATAAACAACAACTATTCTTAGTTTTTAAAACTATCAAATAAAGCAATTAAGTGCACCCTAGCTAATCAATTTCTCAAAAACAATAAATAATAAATAAGATTGGCAGGAATATGTGGACTTCTCGTTTTTTTTTACCCACCAAACATCGTATCTTTTGGGAAGATCATACCTATAAATAAAAGATATGCATTCATTTGTTGTAAGTATTTTTTTTTTCCTTTTAAGAAATCTAAGAGTTTCAAGACGTGAAGCAATGATTCTTTTCAAATACAAGGTTTGGTTTTGTTCTCTTCTTTACTTTTAATTGTAGTAATTGTTTGAACTTATTAAGTTTGATTCCTTTATATATATTAAAGTTGATTTTTTGATATTTGTTTGATCTAGTATTATATTAAGTTGTGCAAATTCTTTCCTTTCAATACCGCACTCTTGTGTTGGATTTTTAAAAATTAGTACAATTTTAAAGAATACGAACAAATATATATTTATAATTATTTGAAAACCTCCAAATAAGTTTTTTAAAAATGTATTATCACGTTCTTTGGTTGAATTATTATTTAGAACTCAATGATAATTTTGAGTTTGATCTTTTCTTGAAGTATATATACTTAAGAATTTGGAGAAAGCATGTGTGAAATTACTCCTGAAGAAGTTTTACAAAGGAACTCTCAAGTTGGTGTTGAGTTTGATAGTGCACTTAAATTTTACAATGAATATGCAAAGAGAGATTGGTTTTGGTGTTGGCAGAGAGTATGTCCATCCAAATAAAAAATTACGAAGTTCAAGCTCATGAAATAGATTTAGCAGAGGCTGCGCAACATTTGATTGTATGAGTAGAATAAACTCAAGTTAGATCAGAAGAGCTATCGTCGTACAATACAAAGGGGAAGCAGGTAAATTAACTTACAAACAATATTTATTTTCTACTAAGTTCTAATATTGAAGAAATGGTAAATATTTTTTTTTGTTTCGTCCAGAAGTAATGTTAGAATATTTCGGGAAGAAGAGAATTGATGTCGGATGTTGATGATATGATGACAAATATATGTTGGACGGTTTCAAAAATGATAATTTTTTACCAGACGAATAGAGATTATAGAGCCTTGGCTAGTTTAGTTGGATTGAACAAAAAATTGTTGTTTTTGGAGGAGCTTTAATGTACGATGAGACTTCAACATCATTGTTTGAGACATTTTTCAGAGTAGTGTCCGAAAGAAAACCAAAAACATTTTTTACCGATGGACGACCAAGTTGCTGCTATCTCACTTGTGATACCTGAAGTCCATCACATTAATTCACAGGTTATGTGTTTGGCATATCGAAAAAAATAATGCAGCTTTTCGTGGTGATTTTAGAAGATGCATTTATTTATGAATATGTAGTTGTTTGGAATACTATGCTTATGTTTGAGAAATATAACCGCGTGGTTCTATGCATTGAGAGAAATTATTTTAGGTGGTATCAATAGCTAGCACACAATTCAGTGAAAGTTTGAATGTCGATTTGAAGCCTCATTTCACATTTATATCCTCCAACTTTGGGTTTGCACACTTAAATTTGCAACACGTATGTCCGGCGAAATATTCTACATGGAAATTTGTGTCCTACTTACATGTATTATGACATGTATGACTCATGTTTCTACTTGTTCAACTTTATGTCCAAAGTTGGATTGCATATATATAAAATAAGAATTCTCGTTAGTAGAACCCACTTAGCTCCGCCTCTGGATATATATATATATAATATATATATAAGATAGCAGTAGCATGTGGAAATGAGTTAGGTGCAAATTAAAGCTGAAGCAAATCATGAAGGTGACAACTCCGTCTCCTTAAACTAGAAGAAAATATTACTAGTAAAGATATTCTCACAATTAAGATCCAAAAATAATAAAATATAGAAAGCAACGGAAAAAGATCGAGGGTCAAAGGTTGTCTTGAGGTGAACTCAAAACACAAGAAAGTTGAGTTTGCTAACCAAAATGGATCGATATATAGGACACAATTTCATAATGCAAATACTTTCAATAAATTTTCTCTTTCCAATATTTAGAATTACCCAATTATATTTGCTATATCTGTTTTATTAATCGATAGGATTTAATATCAAAGGGAAGTGTTTTCGAGAATTCCGATTTAAGTGCATATCAACCAGTGGCGGATTCAAGATTTTCGTTCAGGGGGTTCGAAAAATAAAAATATAAACGTGTGTATATATAAGCCAACAAAACAAAATTTCAAGAAAGTAGTAGTATTTAGTTTTAGTGGCGGACCCTTGAATTTTTTTGGGTTTAAAACCACACTTTTAGCATGTTTTATAAAATAAAAAACTAAAAAAAACGTCAAAAACGGAACTGAAAAAGAAAAAAATAAAAGGCTAATGCAAGGATTCGAACCCTCGACGTAAGACTTAATTTTCAGGGAACTTGCCACTAGGCTATCTCTTTCTCCTTGTCATTGAAGAGGTTCAAAATATATATATCCACATAAATACAGAAAATTACCTTATATATACAGTGTAATTTTTTGCTGAGGGGGTTCGGGTGAACCCCTGGAACCCACGTGGGTCCGCCCCTGCTATCAACACATGTCTTGTGCTGACTTATCCCATAATTCATAATTTTCTCTTTTTATATGATGAAATGTCCTAGCTTTACTCAAATGTTAATTACGGTAATATTTTTTGATCTAAGGTCAAAAAATATGTATATCATTTTCAGTTAACTTCATTTTTATCACTTGTGCATGAACCTTCCTCTTATACATACTTTAGCACATTCACACAAGTCTTATTCACTTCCTCGTGATCAGGTTCACATTGGATGAATCCTTTTATTTTCATTTGTTAATGTACACATTAAACTGTTAACATTTTAAAATTATTTATGTTTTGCAGGCAAACCTAAAAAGGAGGGATGTTGTGAATTCTCAGTAACAAACTTGCATCATTGGTATTGTAATACTTGTGAAAAATTAATGCATATTTTTTATTGATAGGTATGATCTTCTCAAAAGGTACGAGGTTTGACAGGTAAAAAAGTCAGGAAGTCCGCATATTCCCGCCAGTCTTAATTATTTTTTTTTTTGAGAAATTTATTGGCTAGGATGATTAATTGCTTTATCTAATAGTTTTAAAAAATAATAATAGTTGATGGCTTTGTTGTTTTTAATTATTAGTAATGAGTATATAATTAAATGGATCACAATCATAAATTATTGTATAGTACACATGACATGAATCTTTAAGGCCATTGAACATTAATTGACCTAATTATACTTGACCAGATCACTATGCATTATAATAACACTGGAACGTTTGGAAATCTTCCAAATCGCAAGCCTTCACAGTGACTGTACGTACTTTTTTTCTTGCTTTGGCATTATCCCATTAACATTGTCACAGTGTCCCACACAATTATCAATTATCATCAACGAGTGAAGAACTTTATTTCGTATTAAAAGCATCATGCCTAATAGCTTAAACATAGGCATTCTTTTGGATGCAAGAGATTATGTCAAGGAATGTTGTACACGTGTTCAATAGAAAAGGATCAACTTCTTTCTTGTTTTAGTTGGAAATAGGTTGATTATTCCTCAAAGGAAATAAAAAATGGTTCATCATGGGTTCTTACATTACGAAAATTGTCTCCTGAACATGAATTCTATTGGTAGTGTGAAATGTGAGTTATTATTGTCTGGATTCTTGGACGAAGCTGTTGTGCCCAAATGCACACGCAAGTGTACGTGATCGTGAAAGTAATAATGTAGCTTTTTTTAAGAGTCGAGTATCGTACCTATAAAGACATAAAATTTGATGGTAATTAATTCTTCAAATAACTAGAACTTAAAGCAAGTGTTTTCAGAAATAGTGATGTATTATTCTAAATGATTAAGTATCTAAATCAATTAAGTAAACTACTATGATTAAATTTCAACTT